TTAAAAACCTAGCTTCCTATCTGAATTATCTAAGCATCTAATAATTTCTATCTGAATTATCTAAGCATGCTTTAATACTGTCTTGTAATGCTAATGGCCACCATTAATATTGGCTGTAACAATTTCCATAAGTTAAAAATGCAGAGAAGTATTTAATTTTGTCTCTCCAGAAATCTACTGCTAACAGATTTAAATGGGAAGCCAAAGCTTCTCTGCTTCTCAGCATGGGCCATACAGTCCCTCCGGGGGGCCACAGTAGACTTTGGAGGGCAACATCCAAATTTAACTGCCAGGCATTTGGTTAATTTGTCATAATCCTCACATCTTATCCTCTGTGCTAATTTCAGCAACAAAATATTGAAAATTACTACAGTTTACAATCAGTATCTAAATGAAAAAGACTGTCTGAAATAAGTGAAATTTTATATTCGTTAGGAACCAACCATATGATGTAGCTGAGATTAACAAACAGGGTAGATGGTGAACTACCTTTTTCCGGCTAAATAGAAAAAAGGTATTTTTTTCCCATTTAGGTAGAAAGGCTCCAGTAAATGAGGCTCAGAAGGGGGGCCATAAAAAAAAATTCCCAGGGTCAGCAGCCCTGCTCTGCACAATGCATAATTTTATGCACCTCTGTGATAGCCTGTCCTCTCTATATTGTCTATATTTATGTATTGATCATTATTGTTATCATTTCTGGTGAAGGTTCCACTGTAATGCAGCATCATGAGGTCCAGGTAATTGAGGGAATGTATCAATAGCAGGACAGAGATTCAATTGATTATTATTATGACTGACAACACAATCAGAAGGATGTTTATTCAGAAGTCCTCCCTGCTCAGTTCCCCCATGTAAATGCATATTGGAGTGCAGCCTGAATTGCTCTGATGGGATTTACAGGATCAATGAAACTCACGCGTAAAAAATCAACTGCCAGCAAAAGAATGATTTTAATCAGATGCTGGCAGTCAGTAAACTGTTTTTAGGACTATAGAATAATATGTTGCAAAGCTTATAACGTTTATATCTATGGTTGAATCAATAAACTAAATAAACTGATTGACCACTACATCCACTGCATGGTTACTGAGAAGAAATCCTCTCTGAGATCAAGGGACTTTTCCCCTCAATTAAGCGGCTACAGAATTGCTGCCAGACAGTGCCATCTTTCTCGTATTCATTTAGAAGTCAGTCCCTCTAAGCTCAATGGAACCTGTAGCCTCACCGCCTACCTGCGGGTGGCAAATACTCCTGTGGTGACTAAACAGTTAATTAGGATTCTGAAAGTGACAGAACAGACAAACCGACAGACCCTGTATGTAAGAAGAAGGGCCACCTGCCATATTTACTCATTTTATTTTATTTAGCTCCTGCTTCATCCCGTAAGAGCCAGTGTGGTGTCGTGGTTATGACCTTGAAACTAGAACTCAGCAAATCCGAGCTCAGGGGGTAACTTTGGCCCATTCAGATCCTCAACCTAACCTACCTCACAGGGCTGTTGTTGTGAGGGTAAGAGGAGGAGAATTGTGTAAGCTACCTTGAGTTCCTTGAAAGGAAAAATAATTAAAATATAGACAAATATTATAATTTATAAATTGAAAATTCATGCATTTGAAACATGGTGCTGGAGGGGAGCTTTGCAAATACCATGGACTGACAGAAAAACATACAAGTGGTCATAGATCAAATCAAACCAAAGCTTTCCCTAGAGGCAACATTGACACTACTGAGGCTGTCAAACTTTGAACTCTTCACGAAAAGGCAAAACTCTCTGGAGAAGAACATCATGCCAGGGAAAGCTGAAGGCAGAAAAAGAAAAGGAAGACCTACTATGAGATGGAATGAAACCATAAAGGAAGCCACAGTCTTAATTTAAAACAGCTAAGCAGGGCTGTCATGGATAGGACATTTTGGAGGGCTGCCATTCATACTGTTGCCCTAAGTAGGAGACAATTTGATAACACATAACAGAAGAACTGATAAATTAATGGCCTCTTAAAGGCTTTCAACAGTTTTACTGATTGTTAACCATTCTGTTAACAGCTGTTCCCCAGTGTGAGAACAACAATGGTAATTCCAAAAGGCTTACCATGAAGGACACTCAACAGTTTAGGAGATTATAGAGGCTAAATGAAGTAAGCATGGCACTGCAAACAGAATATTTACTGGAGAACAAAATGAAGCCTGTGATACCCATAACCAATCAGTCCAAAACCCCGTAAGATGGACACCGGTCCAAGGAGTCAGAATCTGCCAGGCTGGTCGGTGAAAAGAGTTCAGTTTCATGTGGGAAACATACCAATGTACAAACAAAATTGCACTTCAATTCTTATTGACCAGAATTCTTATTTACTCATGCCTGCTTACACAGACACATTTCCAGTGTAAGATGCTTGCATTAAACCGCTCTTCCGCAGTACAGAAACAAACACCCTGCAGCCTGTTTTGCAAATCCCCAAACATTTTGAGCAGTGCAGTCCTCCTTCAAGAGAGTATTTTATTAGCAGCTGTAAGGACTCATGGCAGAGGTGGTGCTGGAACCCCAAATCTTTTACTTGGAGCCCCATTACTCTTTTGTCCATGTGCCTGTGCTGAAATAAAGGTACGGGGCCTCCGATAATATCCGTTGCATCTGAGCCCACTGGGTCAGCCAACTTTTGGCGCACACGTGCTCCACCTTGACTCTTTCTAGCCAATTTCCCCCCTAAAATCATACGCCTTCCTCTTCTCTATCCATGCACCCTTTTTTACAAGTAGGGGTGTCATTTGGAGACAGGTCTCTTAAAGACACACATGCAGACTTCAGAGCCTGTGCAGAGTTTTGTTTTTTGGAGGGGAGTCTGCATGTGTGTCTTTTGGCCTGAACCTGTAACTTAAGGAGGTAAAACAAATAACCACTCAATGGGCATGCCAGCCTTAGACTCTGAAGGTTCAAACTGCCTCCCTGTCAGTATATGTAGCTATTATAAATGATATATTGTGTTTCTCAATCCTGCCCCTGCCCTGCATAGCCGCAAATGCAATGCGCTGAGGATAAACTGAAGATCTTAAACAATCCATTTCTCTTTCACACCCCATGCATTGCATTAATTTTTCCAGTTCCCTATTTTCCTTTTTCAGACACTGTAGTGCTGTCTGGACAGGGACGCTGCACAAACCTGAAGAGCTAAGGTGGCTCTGTTCATCATCCGCGAGTGCTGCCAGCTTCTTTTGTGGCCAAACATTCCCGCTCCTCAGGCTGACTGCCCCTTTACGCAATCCCCCTGAAATGCGTTTTTGAGGGGGCCTTCATGATAAAATCCCTCTCCAGAAGCACAGCATTCCTTTCCTCTTTGAAAAGATGCAATGGAAAAACAGCAAAGCTTCCTCCCCACCACAGATTCCTTAGTGCTCCTGCATTTGCTCCAGGAGCAGCCCAGATTGGAAATCCAAATCCGGGTGGCTTTTTTGCTTCTAATTTGGGTAATCGAGCCCAAGGGCAAAGAGCTGGCCAGTGGGTAACTCTCCCTGGGACCCAGGAGGAGAAACTCACTTCGGTCCCCTGTGCCCAATGTGCTGAGACTAGCAGTGTAATCCTACGCAGGTTTACACAGAAGAAAGCCCCACTGTGGTCAGTGGCTTTATAAGCACCTGCGGGGGATATGAAAAGCTTGATCCTCAGAGGCAGAAAGTGCCTCCTTCCCCCTCCAGCGATGCAGCACTGCCCTTTTTTGCTTTGTTTTCATAAAGGAAAGTCCACCTGTGTCCGATTGAGAGAACTATACAAGCTGCTCAAAGGCAAACCTGGATGCCCTTGAACAGCTTATCCAGTTCTCTAAATGGCATACGGGTGGATTTTGCCTTTGAAGAACGGAGCTATAGACCATCGTGGGGAAGGCCAAACTAGAGAGCACAGAGTCTGCTCAGGGGTTCTGCTGGCTCATATAGGGAGAGAGTGAGATGCAACACAACCCCAGGCAGTTATCAATTGCACAAGCATGCTAGGAGATGCCAGTATAATGTAGTACTGCTTTCCTCAACCTGGATGTTTTGGGCTACAGCTCCCAACATTCCTGATCATGGGCCATGCTGGCTGGGGCTGATGGGAGCTGATCTCCAAAATATCTGGAGAAAACCTGTTTGGGGGAGTGCTGGACTAAAATGGGGGAGGGTCAGTTCAAATCTTCACTTAGGAGAGAAGGAGCAAACTGCAGATGCGAAAAAAAGGTTTATCTGTAGGGTGCTATATACAATATGTACAAGGGATGGAATAATCAGAAAATGAACCATAATAAAATAAATTTCATATTAAGGTGTATTAAAGCAAAACCGTTCCAACTGTTTTAGTGGGAAAGCCTCAAAACATTTAAATCTAAACATCTCAACCTAACAAATCTCACAGGGTTGTTGTGAGGATAAAATGAGGAGAAACTTGAAAGCCACTTGCAAGGTAATATAAATGTAATGAAATGAACCTGTAAATAGAGATAATACTAATTTCATCCTCCCCTTCCTCTTTTGTTTGTGGTGCCAGTTTTGCTGCTGAATCTCCACCCAGCCATCAATCTTGTCATTCCCTCTCAGCCTAAGCTACCTTGCCAGTTCTCATGGAAATAAAATGGGGGTGGGGAACTGGGTACTCCATTCTGAACATCTTAGAGGTAGTATGTTGTAGTGGTTAATGCTGGACTCAGGAGAATCAGGCCCTAGTTCTCCCTCAGCCACAAAGTTTACTGGGTGACTTTACGCCACTCACTAACTTTCAGCCTAACCTGCCTTGCAGGGATGTTTTGAGGTGAGGAGGATGTATGCAACCTTAGGTTCCCTGCAGGAAGAAAAGTGAGATAAAAATGCAATACATACAGATAAATAAATGTACTAAAATAAAGAAAGAAATGCCTGTAATCCCCTGCTGTGATCCATGGCCTATTATGCAGGGATTTCGCAGCAGGCAAATCAACCTGGAAGGCTGGAAATGTGAAAAGGGATGGAATCGAGGCGATAGCTGTTCATCAACTCACCCATGAAGTAGCTGGTAATTTTACAGAAGGCACTGCCAAAAATGAAATCCTGGAGGAGGTTGGGAATGAGGGTGAAAGGCATGCAGAAGAAGCAAAGCATGAGATCACTGATGGCCAGCGACAAGAGGAATATGTTGGTGACGGTTCTCATCCTCTTGGTTCTGATCAGCACTATGATTACCAGTGTGTTTCCCAGGACACCGAGCAAAAAGATCAAGGCATACAGGAGGATTCGAACGGTTTGGTTCAGATCTGAAAACAAAAATGAAAAATCATCAGAGCTGGAAGGTGCACATTGTGAAATTGTGGCCACGTTAAGCGGCTACGCACAGCGGAGTCCTGATTCTTTTCTAGATAGCTTACTGTGGCCACATGCAAAAGAAGGCGGGGGTCTTATACCTTTCATAGTTGTGCCAGAGAAGGTATTTCAACTGATGCAGCTTTTCTCAGCCTTGCATGGAAGCTTTTCCTAATGGGGCAGGGGGGCTGCACCCACAAATCAAGCAGCTTGCTCCCCTACACCAGTTCTAAATTCCTGCAGCTTCGTAATTACAGAAGGGCACTTTCCACATTCTCAGCCCCACTTTCCCCCCTCTGAAGTCACTGCACTGCCCTGCCAGATCTCCCTCTGCTAAATGGCTCTCATAAGTCCAAGATCCTGTGGCCATTCACCCTCCTTCAGCAATGGCTGGAACAGGTTTGCCAGTCATGGAGTTCCCAGGCCGTACTCATGGCTGACAAGCAAAACAGGTGTGTGTGAATTGGGGGCATTTGCCAAGAAGAGGCTGGAGGAAGGCCCAAGGGTGCAGAACCCATTCCCATGGTAGCTGTGCCTCCTGCTACCAAGCTAACTCGGTAGCTCCCCCCACATGCAACACCCACAGGGGTTCAGAGGCATGTCTGTCAGCCAGCTTGAGAAAAGTCGGTGTTTCTTTGCCACCTTTGGAAAAAAGGAGAGGGGAGCTGTAAAGGAAAAATGAAAAACGGAGAAGAACTTAAACAGCCTCTCCTGCCGTCTCTTTTCTAAATATCTCCTTGCACACACATACAGAGCCTTGGTTTGCAACTCAGAGCAAAGGTGGGACTGGCACTTCTGTAACAGGACATGTAGCCCTGCCTTAGAAGACTTAAAAAGCAAACATTAAAATAAGTAGCAGAGGGTATTATCTCAAATGGTATAAAAGTGGCAACAATGAGCCCTTTCCAGCCAGGCTAGTGCAACCTGAACGACTTCTGACTGGAATGCACTTTCTACTTTCTTTTAAAAGCGTGGGACACTCAGGATCTTATACTTTATTATTTACAAGTAGCAGTGAACTATAAAGTTTGCAATCATATATTGGATCACCTAGGAATCTGATTCTATTAGACAACAGAACGCAGCAGTGGAGAGAGGGTTTAATTTGTGCATATTCTTTCCTTCTGTATACCCTGCATGACAGTTACAGTGGCGCTTATAGTGCTAAAACAATTATTAAAATTCACTAATGCCTTAACTTACTCTTCGAAGCATTTTCTGCTCCGTGTTGCAACTGTTCAAGCTGCACAGTGTTTTCTAGGTGCAGTTATAATCAGAAAGGTAAAATATTGCTTTACTTTTCCTCTTTCCTCAAAACTTACAATGAATGCCTGTTTTCACAGAGGTAGACCTAAAATCCTTCTCAACGTGTTTACCGTAGATTAGCTGCAGATGAAACGAGTTTAAATCTGTGTTTAAATCGCACCTACCTTTTAAAGGCTGTGGAGAATGGTTCATACAGAAAATTGTATAATTTTCTAAGTTGAGTTCACACAGGAGTGCAGAAATATTGGAGTCGATGTCATCTAGGCTGATATTAAATATATCCATCCTTCACTCTCCAGAGGTTAGTTACTAAGGAAGAAAGCGTAGTTTGGGGACAGTCTGTCCATTCTTATAATGAATGCAAACAGGCCTAAAAAATCTTGCAGCAGGGGGCTGTGCCAGAGTCAGCAGCCCACGGCAGTTCCTCTTCAGCCCCCCATGGGGAATGCTTAGTCCACAAAATTCTGTGAAGCATGGGAACGGCTGCTCCTAGGAAGACACGAGGAGGCTTGGATGCTGCAGAGAGAAATGCATGCGTGCACACACGCTCCGCGTTCCCTCTCTTTGGAGCCACCCCCTCTTATTCCTCACCGAGCCGGTGCTGGGATCATAACCATGCCGGAGAATTATTGCAGAATTAACCCTTTCTATCATCGCTGTAAGCTGCATAGATACCTAGGACCTTTGCATACAGTTATTTCTAAACCAGGGTCAATAAATCAATTGCAATGCAAGATGCCACAAATCAAATCTGTGCAACCTGCCCTAAGGCATGTTTGCTTGGAAGTAAATCCAGTGAGTACAATGGGACTTCCTCCAAGGGGTGCACCGAATGACAGCCTATGCAATAATGTAAAAAGCATAGTTCCCGTTAACATACACAGATTTTTAGATCCTTATTATGCTACATTCGTTAGAAACTATTACTTAAAGTATTTTTTAAACTGACTAATATCCAAATCATTGGATTTAAGAACATTTTAATTCTGTGTTGGATTTGGGTTGGAGTCTCTCGCTACATGTATTAAGTCTAGCTCAGCTTAGACAGTAGGGTGGGGAAGGAGGTGGCAGATGACTGCTATTGGTAAGAAATTAAGAAAAATCCTGAGTGCATTTTATCTAGATTCTGTTACTAGAATAACATGCTTTCTAGAGAAAACCAATTACATCACAGAAATATTTATGAGTACATTACTATTTTGAAGAAAGAAAAAAATCTGTGATGAGATGGAGATGATACACTAGGGATATCTTAAATAATTGATACCATGCAATGTAATCGGCATCAATTCATTTTTAAATATATTAAAACAACTTTTCTGTAATGTTGATTCTTTGTGCTATTGACTGATAGCACTGTAAATATTTTGTGTGTAACTTGCTTTTTATATTCAGGATTTGCTTGTAGTAATCTATTATCGGACCTGCATTTTCTACAGGTGTCTTAAAGCTTTGTAAAGTGATTTGATACAGTTCTGAAAAAATTATTTCACCAAGTGAGAAATAGAAAATAATCTAGAAGCATGACACATTTCTAGTGACTGTCTTTAAATTTAAAGGGCTTTCTTCCTCCCATTTTTTTAACTGACTCTGTGGTCTTATTTCTTACAACTAGTAGACAATCTAAGGAATTAAATCTTTAACCATTATTTTCCCTTTTCATATTATAAGATAGAATCATTGACATGATAGATCCCAAATTTACAGCGCAGTTCTATACATGTATATGCAGAAGTATGTCCTGTTGAGTTCACTGAAGCTTATTCCTAGGTAAGCATGTACAGGATTGCAGCCTTATTATCCAATTTCTCTCACTGTTGCCTGTGTCCAGCTATCTTGCCAGCATTCAGAATTGTTGTAAACTACCCAGAGAGCTTTGGCTATGGGGTGACACAGAAATGAAAGTAATAATAACAACAACAATAGTGTGCTCATGTTTGTTTCATTTTTATACTGCCCAAGAGCCAAGGCTGTGTCTGGGAGCCCTGTCCACTGATTCCATCCCCATTCCACTTAAATCACGGGGGCTCTAGACCAAAGCAGATGCATCTCCTCTCATTTGGTTGGCTGTAAAGAGACCAAGAAAGGCCACAGCTGGGAGAAATGGGATGTGAAGGTGTAAGTCTCTCCCATCCCGAAATTTTTGCACACCGCCACCATAGCTGTATAGGGGAGGATGTGGGTTCCCTGTACAGGTTCTGCTGCAGGTTTTTTTTTAAAGCAGAGTAGGGAGGGTGTTTTGGAGTAGAAAAAGGGTGGATGGAGACAGGGTTCAGGGCTCCATCCGCTGATATCACTTCACCCTCCCAGCTTCTTTTCAGTTTTAAAAAAGATGCCCCCCCCCAAAAAAAAAGATGCTGGGAGACTGTCCCTGCATCATATCTTGTTGATCCTTGGAATGATCTGCAGAGCCAGTCTGATCCTGTTTGATCCTTTGAGGGAGATGTCGTGGTTGGAGTGTTGGACTGGGGCTCAGGAGATCCCAGTTCTAGTTCCCACTCAGCCAACTCCATTCAGCCACTTTAAGCTAGTCATTGCCTCTCAGTCTAACCTGCCGCAGAGGATTGCTGTGCAGAGAAAAATGGAAGGGAGGGGGCTCTTGTAAGCTGCCTTGAGATCCTTGCAAGAGGGAGGAGGAGAGTATAGATGATTGCACAGAAGGAGGTATAGATGATTGAGGATCGTGCCTGCGCAGGTGATTGGGCCTTGCACTGCATTGCACTGGATGCAGCGTCAAACATTTCTCCCCATGTGCCATGTGAAGATTTTAAAAATATATTTTTAATGTCAGGGAGCACTCAAAAATAGGGTCTCAGGGTGCTGTCAGGAGGAGAGTCCAGAATTCTCACTTCTCTTACCGATTGTCATGATGCTTTCCAGAGTGTGTGTTTTTTAGTAAGTTTTATTTGAAATTATAATCCTAAAAAACAAAACAAAAAGCTAAAAACAACATCCATCATCAAAACATCAACCCCGCTGGGTCAGCCTCCACACCCTTCTTTTTCCATTTATGATAACTTAAAAACATGTTTAAATCTATGTAAAGTCCCGTTTCTCTAGCCAATAATAAAAAGAGTCCAAGTTTGATACAAATATGCTTTCCAGAGTGTTGTATGCATTAAAACATTTTTTAAAGCAGGTCCCTGCCGCAAACAGGGTTACAGCAATGCAGCTGCAGTGAAGGCAACAGAAGGAGAGGAATATAGAGAGATCATGGTAGAAAGGGCTCATTGGAAGCAGTGCAGTCATATGCACTTAGTTCAGTTAAGAATAAAGGTTAAGGGTTAAATCCAAAGGACTAGTTTTAGGGTTTGCTTTGCAGGGCAAAGGCTTTGAATGAAGAGCATGTTGGCCTGGGGTGCCAGGCAAGAGTCATTATGGCAATTTGCAAGCGCCTCCTACCCTGTGTTTACAATTGATTACAGCTAAGTCCAGAAAATAAACACTTGCGAATATTAACAATTCTTTCTTTTTCTTTGCATGTAGCTTATGATTTCCCCTTCCCCCTAACAGCACATGAAAGTCACAGGTTGTTAAGATCAATACAGGAAGACAGAACCTACTAATTTTTCTCCAAGTTTGCCCTGGCTTGTTTCTAGTTGATAAATTTCTAAGCACACACACCAAGCTTATCTCAAGGACAGTGAGCAAATTTCAAAATGTTGCAAGTGGAAGCAAACGGTTTGTTTCTTTTTTAATGCAGTGGCCATGATCGATTCAGCAGTGAATGCTCTACTCATGCTTACTCTATTTACTTAAAAAATAACTCTACACCTTCTATACCTTAAAACATGGTTGGAGGCCAAACTGGACATAACATTAAATGCAGCTTTACATGCAATGTGCACGTTGCACTTTTTAAAATGCAAACAGCAGGTCGGGGACTGATAATTATCAAGATCATGGCACAGCCCCTGCTCCAGCCCTGATGAAAAATACTTCTCTGGTGCTACTACCTGTCCTGGGAGAAAACTTCCACTGATGCATTTAATGTCATGTGTACTTTGGCCCAAAGTCAACTGTCAGGAAGCAATCAGGAAATCCAAAAGCTACAGCCAACTCTTGGGTGGTGAAGAGCAGAGCTGCAGCTTGGTGGTTGAGAGCTGTGTTTGTGCGGAGCTCTGGGGAAAGGCCGGATAGCCCCTTCCCCTCTCCTGCTCCCCTTGCCTGTCAATCACTGGCATCTCTCTTTAAAAATGAAATAAGCATGGGAAGAACTACTGGCAGTCACAGGAGTGGGTCTTATTGCAGAGGTCTATGGTCTTGGTCTAAGGCTGCACACAATAGAACACAGCGACAAAACTCAGGCTGTCAAACTGAAGGACACCAGGGGTCTAATCTTGGCGTGCTCCGGCCAATTAAGCACAAAAAAATGAGAGCGAAAGAATCTGAGTTTTATTCTCAGGAATAGCTTGATCACAAGCAAAAGGACAATCAATCCAGAACAATGGTGCAGTCCCCTTTCCTACCTTTGATGACCAGGTTGCACTGACAGACACTCACTGGATTGATGTTCCTGCTGTGGATGCTGTTTGGTACATTTGAATTCTGATGGTTCCCACTCTCCCCTGGGAGGCTGGGGCTTGGAGCAGCAAGGGTCTTCTCAAGCCCTTCCTCTGTGACTCAACTTCACTTGCATCAGTGTTGCAATGCCAGGGAATGTTGAAGGCAGAAGAAGAGGAAGACCAGCTATGAGACAGATGGATTCCACAAAGGAAGCCGCAGCCTTGAGTTTGCAAGAACCGAACAGAGCAGTCAAGGACAGGACATTTGAAGGACATTTTTCATTCCTAGGGTTTCCATAGGTTTCAAATGACTTGATGCCACGTAACAACTACAAAGCCTCTGCAAAGCCTTTAATGTGAAGGGCCACCGATTACACAGGATTTGCATGTTGAGGATTCAGTCCAGTGAGCAAAAATAGAAGGCTCTTAGGTAGAAAGTCTCCATGTCCTCCGTTGAAGTTGCCCCCGCCCACACACACCTCTGCTTGAGATTTTGGAAAACTGCTGCAGGTCACAGTGTATGGCCACTGGGATAGGAGGACTAGGGGCACAAGATGGCTTCATGCTGGATAGGCCCCACCACAAGCCACGCTGAGCCATGTGACTCAAACTGCAAATTAGGAGACGGAGCAATGTGTGTGCTGGCATCCATGGCCCACAGGGCACTGGCAAGACCTCCTGGTGTCGGCCATCACTGCCATTGGTGTTGCCGGCGGTGTTTCTATAGGGCTCTCTGGAGCAGCCCTGCCATGACTGGGGGCAGAGCTCCTTCCCCAGGGT